TAGGAGGGAGCCTGGAGATCAGTAATACAGGTCTTTGAACCTAGTACAGACTTCAGCTCTTTCAAAGGCTTACAAAATAAATTATAAGGTTAATTTCCATTTGTATATTTTAGGTCAATGTTTATTCCAGGTCTTTTGTAACAAACGTAATTATTACAGCCAATAACAACAGCCCACTGAGCGGGTCGCGATTTCGATCCGTGTACTTAGTGCGAGTTTTTTAACGTTCTCGATAGCGTAAAAGTTAACTCAAATTTGTATGGAATTGGAACAACGGCCCTAGCGGCAAACGTAGGCAAACGTTCCAACTCCATACAAATGTGAGATAACGTATACGCTATCGGGCACGTTAAAAAACTCGCATAAGCACACGGACAGCAAATTCATTCGCGATGCGTCTGCCCTTCATCTCGTACACGCCCACCTGTCCCGGCGAAGCCAGAATGGCCTTTGGGCCACAAACAATTGCTCCGTCCAAGAAAATTAAAATTAGAAAACGAAATCTGTTGTGTTCAGATTTCAATGTTACTTTTGTTGAAAGCTTGGTTTGTTTGTAAAAGACAGTAAAACAGCAATTCCTGTATATATATAATCTGAATCTCGGAAACGGCTCCAACGATTTTTATAAAATTTAGTATACAGGCGATTTGGGGGCCGATAAATCGATCTAGCTACGATTTATTTTCAGAAAATGTTGTTTTATTCGTGTTTTCAATAATCAACTCTTCCCGACATCTATTGGCGAATAATAATACTATTTTTCTTAATTGAGGTCAACTAACCGCTTTAAAGACACAACAAGATGGCGTTATTTTGTTAGTAGTGTATTACATTATTATTTTATTAGTAGGTAGTGTATTTAATACATATCAGTATTTTATGCTTATAGTCTGCGGACGTGACCAAGCAATTGATGCCCGTTCATAATTCATTCATTAATTCATTCATAATGACACTGAGTGCGCTCACTGAATAAGCCGTTAAATTGAAATAAATATGTGGAATGTGAAATGGATTATAATATTACTACTCGTAGTGAGGTGAAAGGTTACAATATGTTGTCGCTGAGAAGTCAATGAGTTTAAGAAAAATAAATAATAGTTTAAAAAACTAACAAAATACGCTTTTATAGAAAATCCAACTAAAAAATAGAAAATAAATTTTAATAAATTTGAATTAAAAATAGTGTAAGTAAGACAAAATGATTTTATTATACGCCTTTTTTACAATAAAATAATTTTTTATTAAGTTAGTTTTTTAAACTTTTATTTATTTTTCATTTTTTAGTTGAATTCTAATGTTTTCAATATATTTTTTAATATTGAATTGTCATCGGTCCTTAATAAGTATACCAAATTTCTAATTAATCCGACGTTTTGAAGGGGGGTCAAAATTATGTTCAAAGATTTCGTTAGAAACATACATACTTACGTCTGAAACTAATAAAAGCGTATTAATAATTCACAATGATTTACGTTTGGCATCGTTTTTACAACAAATATTTATTTTGTTTTATTACGCTTATCTATACGTTCACATATCGCACCTTTACAATTGAATTGGCTTAATCCATAATTCTTAATTTTTGGTAAACTCCAAAAGTGAAATTCAAGAATTAGATTTTTTTAGTTTTTCGATTTTAATACTTCAATGTGTGCGTGCGCTTTATTTGGAAAAGTACATTGACCTTTTGTAAACTAAAAGATGCGTTTAGCTTTGTAAACTTCTAGAATACATGCTTATAAGTCGTATCAAGTAAAAAATTTCTTAAAAATGTTAGTTAAGCAACATCAATTCTAAAAGGGTGATATTGCTTATTCGATTGCTTGGAAGATTTGCAGAGTTATTATGAGTGACGCGGTGTTACGAAGCAAACTTTTTTTTGGTCAAATGGACGAAACAGTTCTCTTCGTGAAAGCCGTAATCCATCTTAAGAAATAAGGTCGCAATCTCAATTATATAAGAGCTGTTATACCCTTCATACCGGAACCCATGACTGTTTTGCTGCAGAAAAAGCCGAGATTGTGGGACGTTCCCGTGCGGACTTACGTCCTGCAACCAAATAATAACGAAATTTTACATTCGGCACTTTATACTTCAAGTAATTTCCCCACAACAAAACGTTACGTTGGTAGGTAACATTGTTTTTTATTTATTTCTGAATCAACCCGAGCGTTCTATAACAGAATAATGACGCTCGTAGGTTTCGACAATTGACAGATTACGAACCCCATCTGGTAGCGTCCATGAAAAACTAAAGAAAAAACGAAATCGATTTTTTTTTATTGCTTAGGTGGACGTGCTCACAGCCCACCTGGTGTTAAGCGGTTACTGGAGCCCATGGACATCTACAACGTTAATAGGCCGCCCACAGTCTCAGTATAGTTACAACGACTGTTCCACCCTTCAAACCGAAACGCATTACTGCTTCACGGCAGAAATTGAGCAGGCTGTTGGTACCTACCCGTGCGGACTCACAAGAGGTCCTACCACCAGTAAAGGTCCAATTAAAATTGAAACTCCAAACTTGTAAATACCGAATCGAAAACATCCTATAGAATTTGTTAGGACAATCATAAAACATACATACCTAAGTATGTTTACTGAACACACAACGTACCTACTATTTGCGGAAGATAATTTTTATGATAGATCTCGTTATTCAAACACACGCAGATCTCGTGCCTACTTGGATACAATAAAATGTTTTTCTATCGAAAACGTGAAGTTATAAAAAAAAAAAACCAGTTTCACAAGGTAAGAATATCTTAATTTGATTAATTTTATTCTGACGCCACTAGATTCAAGACTCGTCAAAGTTTCCCATGGATATTCCATTGTAGTTTTCCCAGAATATATGTCCTTGAAAGATTTACAAATAATTATATTGACAAATTTATTTTATTTTTATTTTTATTATTACATAAATTTATTATTAACTGGTTATGAATAAGCGTTTACTTTACCTAGGAACTATAGCATCCCGTTTTACAATGAAAATGTTTTTCAAACAATATATGTAATATGTAAATTAGTGATAATGCGTTATGTATGGAGACCATCATTCATTCCTATTTTAATTTCCAAAATACAATAGAGACTCACCAAAGGTGCAATAGTTAATGCCCTTGATTGCTGGGTCGAAGATTCAAACACTTGTATGGTGCACAGGTTTGTTAGCTCTTTGTCTGGGAATTTAATATCCTCTTTGTCTGGGCATTTAATGTCTATATATGTATCTAATTAAATGTATATACATATATGTATATGTAGTTCGTAAGTGAGTCGGTGTGACTTGTCCAAATGAAATTATTTTGTCCTTAAATGAAGTTCCAGATATTTGTCGTTAGAGACTCCAGACTTTATTATTGGAAAAAAACATTTTTAATGGTCTAATTAGGCCAAGAAAATAATGACTTCTCCATTGTTATTATTTCCTAAGTTGTCTATGGGCTATTGTATAATCACTAAACATCACAACAACAAAAAAATTATAATTTGAGTAATTGTCTTGGTAGTACCTCTTGTGAGTCCGCGCGGGTGGGTACCACCACCCTGACTATTTCTGCCGTGAAGCAGTAATGCGTTTTGGTTTGAAGGGTGGGGCAGCCGTTATAACTATACTTGAGACCTTAGAACTTATATCTCAAGGTGGGTGACGCATTTACGTTGTGGATGTCTATGGGATTCAGTAACCACTTAACACCAGATAGGCTGTGAGCTCGTCCACCCATTTAAGCAATTAAAAAAAAACATCAGATGGCACATGAGTTTGTTTGCTCATTAATAACCCCAAAAACGGAGACAAATGTTCTTAGGCTTTAACTGTAAATCGACAAAACAGCTTTAATTAGAGGCTGCGTTTGTCGATATGTTATAATGGGTACACTCCGCTAGATTGTGACCTGAATGTGGTGGAGTACAGTTCAGGAAGTCGTCAGTCACTCGTGAGTCAACACACGGACACACATGACGAAATGGTTAGCGCCCGACCTCCATACCTATTTGCTTTTGACAATAAATAATACTCCTTACGTCTCAGATGCGTGAAACGTGTTTCGTTGGTTTCATTGTATAGATTTTTGTATTCGTTTATGATATTTTGATACATCGTTATGGCACAGGCGAATCTATTTGGAGCAAGAAAAATGCGCTTTGATTTATGGAACGCCCTTTAAGACGTGGATATAACAACGAAGAGGTCGACGTCCTTTTGAATGAAGCACACAGTGTACAGTAATTGAAAAACCAGAGAGCTTAATGTCGAATTTTTTCATAGTAAAAGTGAGTTTTTTTTTTTCTCAACCCACGGATGTTCTCTGGTGGACATAGGCTTCCCACAAGGTTCGCCACAACAGTCGATCCTGCGCATCCTCATCCTGCACGCAGAAGTGATCACAGTTAAAAAGAAACGCTAAATCTAGTATTTAGTTACGTAGTGTTTGTTACAACATCATAGATTATATAGGTTTGTTGTTGTAAATTAAGATTTATGTTGTTTACAATAAATGGAATTAAAGTTTTAATTGGTATAAGATTTTAGATAAATTAAAGGTTTTTTTTTTAGTATACTTAAATTATTCTCTATTAAATTAGTAGCCAATCGATTTTCGTCTTCATTTAAGATCTAAATTCGTTAATTATCTCTAGTGATTAATTATTGAATTAGAAGTTATTATTCGTGACAAAAAAATGTAATGACCTGTAATAAAATTAAAGTACATCTCAAACCTTCGACCGACCTTCCGACCTTCAAATCTATACAAATGTTAGTATGTTACAATTTACAAACAAACATACCTACAAACCACTAATGTACTCGTATGACGTACATTCATGGAAATAAAAGGAAGCAGCTTGGTATGTTTATCTAAATTACAAAACATTTTACTAATTCTGGTTGTAAAGCTATGCCTTTTTAGCAGATAAGCGTTCCACTCTGCTGTCTGTACTGGAATTAATTAATCAGCTGTTCGTTACGTATTTTAAAAAAAACTCACCTTTTAAAGAGTTTTAAAAAGTAAACAAAAACAAATCACTTCACAATGCGATTGTTGAATTTTGTGAAAAACTAAAAATACGTAAATAAATTAAAATAACACTTTTGTCTTTGATGTTTTTAGTTGATGGTTTGAAAGACCGTTTCAGAACGTCTCGACGATACGAGAGATTCTGTACCGACGGGAATCGACGTGCACCTCGACTGGCCGATGCATGGCGACTAACTGAAGTGTCTGAAAATGAGGAATACGCGGCGCCCCCCCGCCCGCCCTAGCCACCGCCACCGCCCAAACATTTTCATAATAATATTCACACAATTTTCGATTCTCCTATTTTTATTAATTTAAATATGTTTCTGAACTATATATTATCGCTGACAATACATTAAAGATAGTCGAATTCTTTGAATTTCTTTGTAGTAAAATTGTCATTCAAGTCATCCGTCAGCAATGAAATTTATACGCGATCCTAAACAGATACTTACATTCCATTGCCAGTTCTGAAATTATAATTTATAACACAATTGATTCAGCTATATCAGCAACAGAAGAAGAATCACGTTTAAAATTGGACGAATATAATTCCAGTCTTCATTTCAAAATTTAATATTTTCTTATCTATACATTTGTATCTGTATATCTTATCACATGTTTTACTATTATAAAACTTATAGCAACAGAAGCGTCTGTACGCATTGAATTTTTTTCACAAAAATCAAATGCTTTTCAAGTCAAAAATTAATCCAACGTCTAGGTATATATTTTTTCTTCTAAAGATAAAAAAAAAACTCTAGACTGGGCTTTTAGCTTTTAGAAGAAGCTTTTAAATATAAAGAACTATATACTCGTATTAGGGGGTAAAGTATGAAATTGCATATATTTTGTACTAAAAAAATTAAATTCGTGTTTTTTTTTCAATTAACATATTTATTTAATCAAAATATCTACCATTATTATCTATACATTGCTGCCATCTGATAGGAAGGTCATTTACGCCGTTGCGATAGAACTCTGGTGATCTAGATTCTACAAGCTGTGTAAAAGCATTTTGTACTGCCTCCTGGGAAGAAAACTTTTTGTCACGTAGAAAATTGTCCAAATCACGAAAAAAAATTGGTAGTCCGTTGTAGTAAGGTATGGCAAATACGGAGGGTAACGAATGGTTTCTAATTGCAGTTCCTGTAGAGTTAAAACGGTTTCTCGTGCTGTATGAGGTTTCGTGTTATCATGGAGCAATAATGGTGAAGATCGATTCATGAGTCGGGGCTGTTTCACTGCAAGTTTTGCTATCATTGTTCGGAATTCGGCACAGTAGACATCTGCCGTTATTGCTAGACCAGATCGGAAAAAGCTATAGTGAATAACACCACCAAACAGTTACCATTACCTTGTTATTGGTAAGCTTTGCTTTAGGACACTGTTGCGGCGTTTGACCTTGGGTCAGCCATTGCATATTTCGCTTAAGATTATCGTAAAGAATCCAGTTTCCATCACATGTCACAATTCGATCCAATATTCCTTCATATCTGTATCGATTCAACAAGGCAACACAAGTTTCAACACGCGTTTCTTTCTGCAGATCAGTCAAACCCTGAGGCACCCATTTATCATATTTTTTTATTTTATTGATTTGACGTAAATTACTCAATATTGTTGGTAAGGTAACGTTAAACCATGCCGCTAATTCCTGGGTAGTTTGGCCCGAGCCAAAGCCAAGCCGATCCGAATCGGCTTCCACCATCTCTATGTCTATTCACATGTGTGGGCTGTCTTCAACGTGTTTCGTTTTTCAAATCAAAATTTCCATCACGAATGCGTTTAAACCATAATCGCTCCGGTCACCGTCCTCGTCAAACCCGTCGCTTGCGACGAAGGGCTCGACGAGCGAACTAGCCCATAGACACAGCCCCCTGAGTTTCTCGCCGGATCTTTTCAGTGGGTCGCGTTTCCGATCCGGTGGTAGATTCTGCGAAGCACTGCTCTTGTTAGGGTCAGTGTTAGCAACTCTCCGGTTTGAGCCCCGTGAGCTCACCTACAAACGTTAGGGTGAAGCTGAAATAGCCCCTCAAGGATATCAGCATAGGAAGAAAAAAAAAAAGAAAAAAAACATAATCGCACGGTGCGTTCATTAGCAGTCCCTTCTCCAAAACGCAACATTGATATTGCGAGCTGTTTCTGCGGCGTTAGTTCCGCATCGGAATTCGTAATCAAAAAGTTCTCGAATTTTCGAAGTATCCATATTTCTTGTCTAAGCTGAATAAAAAAACAACTGAAACTCGATAATCGAATGTTGCACATTTTTTAAAAGAAAAACCTCATATGTACCATTTGAAAAAAGTTTCACTAAAAAATCTCAAACCATGAAGGTTCTATGTCAATTCGAAGTACCTATTACAATAAAACGGCAATTACGACATACTTTAACTCCTATTATTTAAATATAACTTAAATTTATTCATGGTAAATGATTTACGATAGATTCTCTATTGCAGATTGGGTGAGGAAGTGTATGTTAAATTCTATACGGGCTCATTTTGGCTTATTCTATTCAGGTAGTTGAGATAACATAAATGTTTGTTGATGAATCTTGTCTTCACTACTTTACTATGAATTGGTTATTAATATGACCCAGAAGAGAAATGTCACTCGAAGACAAGAAATGTCACACAGTTGTTCGAAAAATCAAGTAACATCTATCAAAGTACAGCTAGGGAAAAGTACAGAATTGTTGATAGTGTTACCAGTTTTTTTTTCACAGCTCACCTGTTTATGTACGTTATTTTTTTTTATTAGCTTAGATGGGTGGACGAGCTCACGGCCCACCTGAAGTTAAGTGGTTACTGGAGCCCATAGACATCCACAAAGTAAATGCGCCACCCACCTTGAGATATGTTCTAAGGTCTCAAGTATAGTTACAACGGCTGCCCCACCCTTCAAACCGAAACGCATTACTGCTTCACGGCAGAAATAGGCAGTGTGGTGGTACCTATCCACGCGGACTTACAAGAGGTGGGTCCTACCACCAGTAATTACGCAAATTATAATTTTGCGGGTTTCATTTTTATTACACGATGTTATTCCTTCACCGCGGAAGTCAATCGTGAACATTTGTTGAGTACGTATTTCATTAGAAAAATTGATACCCGCCTGAGATTCGAACACCGGTGCATCGCTCAACACGAATGCATCGGACGCCGTATCCGGTAGGCCACGACGACTACCATACATCCAAATACATATATTTATTAAAATAATATTACACGCCTAAACAAAAAGTAAAAAATGGTGCGCTGAGTTAAATTCGAACCCTTGGTCCTGCAGTCAGAGCTCTTAACTAATGCGCCCGGTCAAATGTTTGACAGAAGAAGGCCAACCGCGGAGTTAATAATCAAAACAAAACGCGCCTTGTTTAAAATACCGCGGCCGGATTGAATTACATTCCATTTTTCAACCGGTCCAAGCTTAGCGCAGAAAACAGTACATTACTGAAAGACGCAATGTACACCTAAAAATGAATTACCTACAAATTGAGTGACATTTTAATAACACGACAGAACAAATACGTGGGTTCTAATGTTATTACTTAAGTCCTAAACTAACAGACCCGTACACCCCAGAAAAAGCGCTTTTATATCATGCGATACGATTTTATGGCAGACAAATTTTTTTGTAATTTACCTCGAATTTTTGCGGTTCCAAGAATTGATTTAAAGCAAATATGATCCTGAATCCTACCAACCGTTATTGTTTTCATCAATTTTAAAAATATAATTTATTCACGACTATGAATTTAGGTTTAATTTAGATATGTAACAAAATTACGGTTCATTCTTTCTAACACATTTAAAACTGTACCCAATGAATTAAATATATTTAGTAAGTAAAAAGTAAGATTTTATTCCTTCACTGTGGAAGTCAATCGTGAACATTCGTTGAGTACGTATTTCATTAGAAAAATTGGTACCCGCCTTGTTTCAAACACCGGTGCATCAATTCACCGGACGTCTTATCCTTTAGGCTACGACGACTTCTAAATCTATCACCGGATCGGAATTGCGACCCACTGAATCTGTCGAGAAACTCAGTGGGCTAAGCACAATTAACATCTTATCGTAGGTATGTGAAACGTGTCGGTTGATGTAAACGTCCGTATTCAGATCAAAAGCAAACATTAGAGCAGGTCCCTGTTCGTTACATCTCAGTTGCTATCCATTAAAATGATAATTTGGGGACCTGCTGGAATAAACCGCTTTGTAAGTTTTGCGTGCGACAAGATTGAATTTTTTTAATCATTTTTGCGTGAAAATTTATGGATGCAAAATTGTTCGGTTTTGTAATTTCTTCAAAATATCGTCGTGCTTATTGGAACAGTTATTTTGTTAAATCGAATTTATCGGGAAGACAAAATGACATTATTACATATAAGTATTTCCTCATATAATTTACAATTCACAACCAGAATCAAAGAATTTGGTAGGCAGCGGCTTGGCTCTGCCCCTGGCATTGCTGAAGTCCATGAACGACGGTAACCACTCACCATCAGGTGGGCCGTATGCTCGTCTGCCTACAAGGCAATAAAAAATAAAATCCCATCTACGCGACGATCGGTATCATCAGTTTCATATTACGACATTATTATTAATAATACACGCCTACCTATGTATATTCTTTTATTTTTGTATTAAGTACTAATGCAAAAATAAATAGCTAGCTGGGTCGGCAGCAACCGGGGAATATCATTGACAAATAAACTAAATAAGAGCGGAGAAAGAACGGAGCCTTGCGGGACTCCAGCCGTGAATGGTCGCGGGGAGGAGCGGGTTCCCTCTACTCGATATCGAAAAGAGCGGTTAGACAAGAAGTCCTGTATGATGAGCACGACACTGTCCGGTACGCCCATGTTGAAAAGTTTGAAAATCAAACCGTTGTGCCAGATTTTGTCGAACGCTTTTGCGACATCGAAGAAGAGGGCTCCCGTGTAGATCGGTTTTGGTCGGTTAAGTCCTACGAGAATGTGCTCCGTGAGGCGGTGCACTGTTGTACGCATGAGTGATTTGCACGGAATCCGAATTGTTCATCGATGAGAATGCCCTTGGATGAAACGAAGTCTCTGAGGCGTTTTTAGAGCAGACGCTCATACAGTTTGCCTAGAGACATGAGGAGGCTAATCGGGCGGTAGCTCGTCGGATGATTTTTTGGTTTACCGT